GAATAAATAAATAAATAAATAAAATCCTTTATTGATCTAAAACAGTTTAGTAAAGTTAGTGGGATTCTGTCTCCTGAGCTAGTAATAACTGTGTTTCAGGAGGCAGCGTCTTCTTTTAACGTTTGTCTTGCGGAATTTAAAATACATGTTTGCAAAATAAGATGAGAGTTATACATAAAAAAAAATATTTTGTTATAAGCTACTTGGTGTATTGTGTGTGTTTGTGTGTGTGAACGTGTGCATGCGTATGTGTGTGTATATATGTATGTAAGTGTTTGTTTTTGTATAGAATAACGAAAACAATAAGAGAATTGCCATTTGTATTGCTTATTCATGTAACAGTGACTGTGATTATGTTTTTATGTTCAACTTTTAAATTTAAGTACACGTGTATAAGTTGTTGTTTTCTATAAAAACATGTGATTTCAAACATTCATAATCAGTTTCTGTTTTCGAAAAATGCATTATGTTTTTTTGTGAACAAAAAACTGCTACGGAAATAACGAGAATTCATTTGAAAGTTTCATCCAGCGTACACGACGCGTAGAGTACAAATACGCGAATACGTAAAATTGTTTTTTTTTTATTTATACTTATACTTACAAGAAAAAATCCGTCTGCCAAATTACAGACAAAATCGGTGCCAAGTATCACTTCTTTTGTATTCCCAGTATTTAGATCTGTATTCATGTGGTATAGTATATCATAGAATAATAATACTCGATTGTAATACTGGAAGTCTTAGAAAATGAATATTGTGCTACTTAAAATGGTATGTATTTTTTTTACACAAAATTATAATATTAAAGACATTTAATGTTTCAAAAACCCTCTGATCTTGATTAAATCTTCGGGCAATCTTAGAGATAGAGCTTTTAAGTTTCTGTATACTGAGCAAAGTTGAATACAAATTAAATTTGACTTAGATATTAGAAACAACAAAGAAAACATTAAGTCAACAAGTTGTAATACTAATTTATATCTGAACTACATTTAATGGAATGGGATCAAAGCATTTTGGTTGCTTAAGTGGCCCCAACTTGAAGATTTTACTACATAAACGAACATTTCTAAATTTTAACATTTGTTTCTTTTTTTTTAATCTACATACATATTTATTGTGTGAAATTGAAAAAAAAACGGTATTTCGTTTCACGAAATATGATGTTTCATTCCATGTTACATACAGACACTCTATATTTTATTACATACGAGTACTAGTTGTTCCCATGCGACTTCATCCCCGAACGAAATCATGAAAATTTTATTTTAATTTTTAAATTTGTCAAATTATCAATTACAAATGTCAAAATGACATAACATGATGACAACCTTGCTTCCTTGATGTTGGCAGCAACTTTCAGTCTGTTTGACACATTAAGGTTTTCATCCAAAATATTTACTCCCCATAAGTTTAATAGCGTTAAAATATATAGCCTAAATCGTGACGCAAGTGTAGAGCTTTTTATTAAAAAAGTATTATTTAAAAATATGCTGTAATTGCTGACATCTTCGGCAAAAAAGTGTGTTTACGCTTTATTATAATAGTTTACATGTAAATAACTAGATAAAATTAACAAAGTAACTATAATATTTATTCCATCTCATACTTATAATTGTTGTGTATTGTATTTGTGGTATATTTTTGTAAAGCGTTATGCGTGTTTTTGTTTATAACTAAAGTTTGATATGCTATTGTATGTTTGATGTAAGATATGTTGCAGATGTTATTTTACTTTGTAGTGATGTGTGATACCATCAAAGAGAACACATAAAAAACCTATATCTAGAGACTTGATTGTTTTTACGCTAGTACTTTAAATTATTTTTAAGCGGAAATTATTAATAAGATACTTTTTTGTCAATTATGACATGATATTGTTTTATTTTGAAATGTAAGCCATGTGATAAAAAACAAAAATGTAATATAAAATGCAGCCGCCTGCGACTTTGACAAACTGAATAAGTCGCTTTTGTGTTCTTTAAAACGATATTCTACATTTGTTCAAATTTCAGCAGAGATCAATTTAGCCCCTCCGGCGTTATGTTATAAGCATTCATCCATCTATTCAACCAAACATTTGCATTTTCAATATGAAGCGCCTGTCCCACCAAATTATAAATGGTCTGATAATAATCTAAAATGTAAAATTTGTGACGGAAATATCGGATTTTGTTCCCTTCTCTGACTGTGACAGTGACGTCATTTCTAAGTTATCAGAGCCTTTATGAACCAGTGGTGGGACAGGACCTGACTATTGTAGCTTATATCTATTTACATAAAGTTAACTATATATGACAAATATACAACCGAGATGTCTATGCTTGCTATTTACAGATAAATGTAATGAACCATACCCTAATGTTTTAATACAAATTTCTGCCATGTCATGTAACTTTATTATTCATGAGAAATTTTGATCTTCACAGCGCTCCGTAATGTGTTCTGTTTGCATAATAAAATTATATGCGAATTGCAAAGGGTTACAAACTTATCCCGCTTAAGGACATAGAATTGTTAAGATAACAAAATAGACGTTAAATTTTCCGCATTAAGGAAGAGGATAAAAGCTTGAATTAATAATCCAAACTTTGACGCACCATAACCAAATTAACAGTGATAGAGCCCGCTTTAACATCTTCGCATGAATGGATCGCTTCGCCCGGTGTAATACCACGACCATATAGAAGACAGGCGTAAAACGGAAGCAATATTGTTTCTTCTGATGAGCGTGGTGCCAGAAGGCCTTTTTAGTGCCTTTTCCGTTCCACCCTTTTCTTATAAGGATTGGATGGAAAAGTGGATTTGACGGTGGAGATGACGCATAGAATAAGATATATCCTATATATCCTCCTTATGTGTGTCTCCTCCTCCGTCGAATTAGGGTTGACAACGCATCTGGAATAACGGATGTGTTGCTCGTTTGCCACCTTTATTTATTTAAAAAAAAGGACCGTTAGTACTTTGAGGCTTTCTTAGTACTTACAATATAACTAAATAATTATACAGAAACTGTCTTTATTAAAATATACACGGACTACTTAAAGTCTCAGTTGATTAACGTTGATTCGGCCATCAACTCTTTTAACTACGACTGCTAGCCTCATAGAAACTTCAAATAAATAGTCCCTGTATTTCAGCCTTTAAAAAACATTAAATATCTGATGAGTATCATTGTAAATAAGGGAGCAGTCGATACGTTTCTAATCGTTATGTCAGAAAAAAAGGTTACAACAGCGAAGTAGAGCAGTAGATAGTGCAGTACTATTAATTAAACGCCCATTTATTTTCAAAACATTTCTATTCTATCTCACCGTACGTGTACAATAATAGTAATACTGCGAGTACTGCTCTACGTGACTTCTGTCCTCGTGTGAAAGTCGCATTAGTGTGACCGGCCGGATACAAGATAAAAAAGTATGTCCATACCAATAACCGTAATGCTTACATTAAGAGGATATTGGCTGCGCTAACGTACTATGTGTTGCATGACAAATGATATCTGGTATCGCAACGTCATTTCATATCAGATGAAATTCGAAACTATCTTTTGTATCACAATATGTATGGCCTTGATCTTATCACAAATGGACTGCCCAACACTAACAAACTAGATAATATGCGTGTCGCCATAGTTCTTATAAATTGATAATTTGGATCTTTATTATTTCATGTCCTGATCTAAATGTATAGATGGATATTTTTTATTAAGTATCTCCAGAATCCGTCAACGCATCTAGCTGAAAGGCGTAGATATAGAAAATAATCTGTAAGAACAAAGCTACTGATTAAGTTTTTTTAAACTTAGACGGAGTCGCGTGTGATAACTAATATTTTAATCACTTCTAGCGTATAGATGTTTTTATAAAATAATCTACTTGGAAATTATTTTCTTTAGTCATCAGCTTAATGATATACAATTCCCATTGAAGGACACGAACCGACCCTTAGTTAGCTATAGCTCAGTGAAACACAGTGGTCAATTAATTCTTAAATCAATTACTTTTAAACCAATTTAGTTGATCTCGTCATGATACAGAAAGTAAACGATACTTATCAGCCAGTATTAACATAAAACGTTATCTGAAAAATCCAATTTAATGATACGCTTTACGTCTTGAGCGGAGTCGTAAGAATAAAACAAATGGCCTCCACATAATATCTCAAGTTGGTTTTGCATTTTATGCGTACATTATATTTTTATTACTAAGCAGGACCCTGCTACTTTTACAAGAGTAGCTTTGCCCTGCGGTTTCACTCACAACGTTGTCATGGCGTAGAAATAATTAAGCTGTCAAATGCAGTAAAATAGTGGAGTTGACCTTTGTTCTAAATGAAACATACCTTAAGACGGCTATATTCCACATTGTTTATATCCTAATCTGACAGGCGGTAAAATATAACAGATCCATTTCTTTCAACAACTGTTTTGTTTGTATTTTATTGGTGTAAGTATTAATGTATCAGTCAGCGTATCTGACTGGAATTCGGATCTTTACGGCGTCTATTTAATCCAATGGTATACTCCCAAATTGTTTTTTTTTTAATTTTCCACTTGATATTTGATACACATGTGTTTGAATTATTTTTAAATATTTATTTCGCGTTAATTGTTATCACTTGATATATTTCAATGGTAAAGACAATTGTTATAAGAAGACGCTGCCTCCTAAAACACAGTTATTACTAGCTCAGGAGACAGAGTCCCACTAACTATACTAAACTGTTTTAGATCAATAAAGGATTTTTTTTTTATTTCAATGGTAATGTTAAGGTTTCAGAAGTGGTAAGTTATAATCTCTATATCTAGCAGACGGCAGCATTGCGTGGTCTTATTATTTAAGACGCTGATAGATATTTTAATGTTTCAATATTCAGTCTTAAAACTTTAGATTATGAAAATTAAATGACTTCTTTTACTCTATACTAAGGTAATAAAATACAGTTTGAGCACAATGTTTATTGAACTAAATGACTTAGAATACATATATACGGTTACTTATTCACAACGTATAGGCTGCGCTGGGGGTATGCGTTGTGAAACACTATCAGTCCTGATAATCTTCTCACTACGTATACCAATACATCTCATGCATTTACATTCTTCATTCGTCCGCGATATAGGTATTTTGCTGACTGTGACCCGACGACCTTGTGCCTTCACACCCATCAGTTCTGCGAAATATATCACAAGTTAAATTTAGGCGGGGTCGAAATTACATCGGAATATATGACACCCTAAAACTGTACTGTTTAATGTGCACTTAATGACGCAAACCGGTCATTTGTCCGCTCTATGTATCTATGGATAAAAAAATATTTGTCCTGTCTGGACATGGTATAGACGTAAAAGCGCTAATATCAAATGTTTTTGGTAATTAATTTAGTTACGAACTGCGAGGCTTACAGCCGAATACTGAAACGATATTTAAACATGCAACAGCTTCCTAAGTAAGGCTACGATTAAACTTCAAATTCCATTGAAAAATTGACCGCTGTCGGATTGTAAGCGAAGCGTTTATGATTCGTTTCAATCGTCGGCTGTTAGTATCATTCGTTAATTACTTAGTGTAATTAAGCATGGCAAAAGAGTTTTTATATTACTATATCTTTCTTTACTGTCTAATAGACCATTAGGTATATAACATAAGTAACAATTAGAAATACTGATATGTACAAGCATATTAACATCCTTTATTGTTTAAGCTCAGATAACAAAGCTTTTGTTCACCATTGTAACTTAACAGAGTAATCAATAAGTTCTTATCATTAGAGTTATTCGTACTCCTTGTCTTAAAGATTTAATAAATTTCGTCGCCTTTTATTCGGAATGTTAAAAGAAAATATATTTATTAGATTTACAACATTTATTCCATTTCTCACCCGACATCGGTATTCCTTCGCACATACTCGACCGTTGACAGGAGCGATTCGATGGATTTAATTTAATACATATAATATGGTCCAATACCTGGCGAAACAACATTGTATTAATGTTCGTAATGTTCTAGACAGATCTAGAAAAATGTATCAATCCTCTCATTGTTTTAAAAAAACTCTCTTAAAGTCAATAACATCATATGACATTTCCGGAATACGACACATGCTTAAAATTACTAGATATACATTTTCTATTCATTCAATGATTTTTTTAACACCTTCAATACTACTCCCTCTCCTTTTTCTTAGCATTCTGCCTACATTGCCTTTCTTTCTCTCTCTTTGGGAAAACAAGGACACCAATAGTGTAATACTGCAGTAGAAATCATAGTAGCAAACGATGTCTTAACAAACATTCAATGTAATAAGTAACTAGATATAATATGGGGCCCTGAGCAACCCGGAGAAGGGAAGTAAAAACTCAACGCTTAAGAGGACATGGTTGTGTTCCATACGGAGATACTACTCCCCCCTTTTTTGCTATGTTGGCGACCACCGTGGGGTTTTAGTAGGTGCGAGTCCGACATATTCTGAGTCTAGGTCCCTATGACACGGAATATGCGTAGACATTAAAGAAAATGATATAAGCATACAAAGAAACGTTTGACACACATAGTTTACAGTCGACTAGCTACAAAATTAAACGTGTTATTGAACGTGTATTCGATTTCAATAGCTTTATTTAATTGAATTTCGGAGAGCTATTGAATCGTGACCTGTGGCCTGTCAACGTGTCAACTTACCTGTGTGTGACTTATCTGAGTGGACTACGGTGAACCTTTCAATAGCCCCGCTTTTATGAATTTAACTATGCGTTGGAAGAATATTTTATATCTGAATTTCAATACTGCATACGGTAAAAAAATTCATAACTTCTTTTAATATTATTTTTCGCTGGTGTGCAAATGTGTTTCAAACAATATTTGTTCGGGCATCTTACCATAAAACGGCTTTCTTGTTTGTCAGTACGTTTGCATGTTAATGCTCATAGCATAAATAAGTTGATAGTTGTCACTTCTGTCAATTAGAACAGAGCGTAGAAGTTTATAACGATAGTATAATTAAGTAGACCTCCTGAAAGGTGGACTGATTAGGTCAGGGTTACGACAGTTACTGGATGAGGGTGGCTTAGGACGATTCATTGTGAAGATCTTTTGGTCAGTCCAACACTCATCAGTTGGCGAGTAGTACCGAATAAGATAACAATTGAGATATATACCTGTTTGAATCCATGCCTATACTTGCTATTCATGTAGCAATAAATGATGGGATTGTAGCAAGTGTGTGACATAGCGAGCCAATGACAGGCGAACCATACGTACGGCATCCCCGGCCACGCGTGCCAAGCCTCGCTTTCACTATTTAACACCCATAGCATCTAGAAACAAGACTATATTATAAATGCGAATGTTTGAATGGATTTTTGTTAGAACGTTTCTCCATAACGGTTTTGTGGTTCTGGATGAAATTTGGTCCAAATGTCGCAGATATACATATGTATGTAGCCGAAGTAGCTAGCAAAAGCTAGGACATCATATTGTTTTAATTTCATAAAAGCACTTTGTATTTTTTTATATGAGTTATTGTTATACTTACAATAAATATATTCAACGGTAGCCAGCAGACGATAAAAACTACCACGACTGCTACCATCATCTTTATCATCTGCACAGAAACCATACTAATATTATAAATGCGAAAATTTAGATGCATGGATGGAAGAACACATTGACTACTCACTTTTTTTTAATTCCACGAGGACGGAATCGCGTGCGAAAGTTAGTAGAGAATATACAAGAGGTGGTCTGACATCTAAGTGCGGAAGGCGGAGATCGCATATTGTGGATGTTATTAGGGAGGCAGTCCAGCAGAGAGCAGACAAAGGCTGACGTTCATGCATAAATAGTCAAAGGGTTAAGATTACCTTACGTTTAGAGTTTTGCATTCTGACGTCACGTTCTGACTGAGCCTCCCCGGGCGTGCGTTCCGCCCAAACGACGTAAGCGATACGGACGTACGTCACCACGAGCGCACTCAGCGGCAAAGCGAACTGCAGTATCAGCAAAGCATAGGAGTAATGCTCACTTGTTGTCGCATCACTCCATATTTCACCACAAATATCACTGATACAAAAATAAACACAGAATCAATCTATAATTTCCACAACAATATAACCAATATAAGGAATCAGAACCTGCAATAAAGTAGGGGTGACTAAGCCTTACATTTCCTTTACAGTTACAAAATTGATATGAAAGTAAATAAAAAATCTAATAAAGACATCTTACTTGGTGGTCGATCCAAGACCTGTATTGCTAGTCATTGCGCCACCGACAACACAAGCAACAATAAAATTTAAATATCACGGATTATTTCGTTAATAAAAAAAAGAGTCTATAATTCTTAACCATCCTACGTGCTCATATACCAACGAACGTGCTTTGAGTTCGAACGGCGTGCAAACAAAAAGGACAAAAACATGTACTCACTCATCTGGCTTTCACACAGTCGTTACAATTTACATTTTATTCTATATTTCTACTCCTCATTGCATATATGAACAATGTTCAGTTGAAATTTTCTACACGATTTAAAATACTTACACGTTACAAGCTACATGCCACATCGATGGCTTATGTAGCTGAGCAACTACGCCAATGGGCGTAGCAGTAGCAGCCGCGCCTGCCCATACCGCCAGTACGACCACTTTCGCTGCAGCCTTGCTTAGGCGAGGCTTTAAAGGTTGAACTATAGCTATATATCTATCGATAGATATCGCAAGCATCGTATACGCGCTGACCATTACTGATACAGCTTGAGTGTAATTAACCACACGACACATGATAGATCCAAAAGGCCAGTAACGTAGAACTAATACGGGTACGAAGGAGAACGGCACACAAAGTACTGTCATTAATATATCACCGATCGCTAGATTCACTATAAAATAATTTGTAACAGTTTTCATTCCCGGCGATGTGTAGACGACGAAACAAACCAATCCATTTCCCGTAAGCGCGATTGCAAATATTATACTGTACATTATAAATATGAAAATTTTGAATAATGATGTTGTAACAAATTCCCCAATGGTTTCGTCGAATATGCACGCCAGGCCATCTTGTACCCATGTGAGGTTGTAAACCGTGAGGTTACTTTCTGTCGAAAATTCATCTTCGATTCCAAATTGAGGATAATTTTGTGTGTAACCATGGATTATGGAATGTGCGGTGTTCACCATCCTAATCTATTTTAGATCGAACTGTTTTTCCATGTTCATTAGTAACTTCATTTAGTTCAGCATTGGGCAGATAAATGCTGCTGATGATGATGTTAGTAACCTCGAAGAATCTGAAACAAATGTCTTATTCAGAATCAAATAATTAAAAAAAACACCAGCAAGTTCAATCAAAAATGTATCTATATCTTTTATGACTAAACCTCATATTTCTGACGGCTATCAAGATTACATCGAAAACCTTTTTTACCACTTACTATAAATACATATATCATAACTAAAAACTGCGCCAACCTACCATAAATCAATCAACGTCAAAAAAGGGTCGCGAAAGAAAAGTTTAGTTTGGATATCATCCAAAATACTCAAACTTCTAATTACATTAAATAAATATAACAAAAGTCTATAAGTCTATGGTAACAAAAGCGAAAAAAAAAAACAAAAAAATGTAATAGTTATCATGTAACAAGTGGAAAGACACTTAGGGTTATGACAATACATTTAGGGTCGTAGCATATGGGCTACAGGCTACGACAACAAAAACCACCGGCATATTTCCTATATTTTTTATGCATTTCGCCTATGCTTGTTTATTGTAGCGGCGTTTGAAGCTCCTGCACAACCCATTATCGGTTTTAACAACATTTTGTTTAAATCAAAGTAAATATTTTAAAAACTAATAATTTTTATTTAAATATTCATTTTCTACATGAAGTATCAGTTGGTTCAAGTTGTGTCACGTTAACTCTAACATATATTTTACTGTCCAAATCGAGTCACGTATTTTTGTATGATATTATAATTACATTTCTTTCCTTTGAAGCTCGAATTTATGAAGCTAATTAAACTTTGTTTACTTGTTACTTTTAATAATCAAAATATAATTTTTCATAGTCGTGTTTCTTAGATTCAGCTTAGTTTCAAACAGCTAAAGACTTCAGTAGCTGAAATTTCAATACCATTCCTAGCGCTAAACTCAATAATTTTTTCTTGGATTTCTTTTAACATTTAATAAGTGCTTAAACGAGCTTATTGAGAGCGTCGGTGACTCAGTAGTATAAGCACTTGATTTGCAATCTTGGTCTTGGGTTTGAATCATATTAATAACATTATACCCGACGTTCTTACGGTAAAGGAAAACATCGTGATGACTGCACATATCGGCGAAGAAATTAAAAAGTCATAGCAGCTTAGAAGAAAGAAAATACTTGGGGAAAATGTGCCTAAAACATCTTTTTTAATTTACATAAGATTGTCTTAAATCGTGACTAATCTGTATAATTTAAAAATATGATTTTAAAAATTCTTCCACCGTTAGAAAGGTAATTTATCTATGAGTAACATTGGCTATATTTTTTTTAATTTCACGCGTTGAAGTAGCGAGCAACAGCCAGTTAATCGGTAAACAGTTACTAAGTATTTGCATATTCAATTTGGCTTCGTTTTTATCTTAATTTTAAAAGTCCTCGTGAAGAATCCTGATAAAAATACTCTGACAAAATGCCTGTGTTGCTAGGGAGTTTAATAAATTTAAACTAAACGTGTGTTAGAAACACACGTAGAATTAATATACTCTTTTGCTATAGTGGAGAAGATTTACAACTTATTTTTTGAGTACTTTCTATGAACTTTTTTCATGCTATATCTTAGTGACAGTAGTGTGAAACAAAAACTGAAAACCCGAGATTAATAAGAGAGTAATAAATAGGGTGTGTTATATAATCTACAAAATGTTGTAATTTATAATCTTACTTTTACTAATATTATAAATGCGAAAGTTTAGATGGATCGATGGATGGATGGACATTTGTTAGAGTTTGTAGCCTAAACGGTTGAACGGATCTTGTTGAAATTTCGCACAGATGTACAGGATAGTCTGTAAGAACACATAGGCTACTTACTTTTATTTTTTTTAATTCCACGCGAACGGAATCGCGGGCGAAAGCTAGTACTAAATAAAAATGACTTGTTTATTTTTTAATTTGGGCCGTTTCCTTTCAAGTCAGAGGCCTTCAGTTGTTCGTTGTTATTGGCCGTAGACATCGTTTATTGTGACAACACTTGCTGCTAACGTTACTATTTACAACTAACAACCATTAAATTAATAGTATATGGTATTCTAGTGACATTTTAATCAAATTGATTAATGATAAATAGTTTCTCAGATAAAATTCTTTTCTACTTATCTGTTTTTCAGACACGTGTCTTTGTACAGCAACATACGATATATCGTTGCTATATTTCTACAATAAATAAAATGAAAAGCAATTGTATTAGGTATTAAAGAGATAGGCGTGTTTAGTTTCAGTATTCTTGCACAGTCATGGTCTCGGTGTTTTAATAAGACAAAAGGTTTGCAATGTTCTAAATGCGGGGCCTTGAAATGTGGCGAATCATTGCCTTGGAGAAAATCTTCGCCAACTACATTGTATTCGTACAGTTATGGACTACTTAAATACACAATAGAATTATTAATATACGACTAGCGTTGGACATGAAAAGAAGAAATAAAGCAATGAAATACCCGTTAACCGCTAAGTGAAATAATTTTATAAACATTACCTAAAACTAAGTTAACATACGATAATCGATGAGAAAATCATCCAAGAGTAAACATATCTTAAAACCCAGACAAGTGGATTATAATAAAGTTACAAATTTGCATATAAAAGTTAGCTATTTCATGGTATAATTATTCATGTAACAATAAACTCGTAGGGGAAAAACAAACCAAATTTTACACACGTAATATGTTACCACGCTTCCTCAATTTGTTCTCTTACCTAATTTGGAACGCTTACAAGCAAATATTACACGTCTCTTCTTACGTGTTTTACTTTATTGCTTTTGATACAAATTTTGCATAGAAAGTAAATACAATTTGATGTCAACGGTTGTTTAGAACCATTGTTGTCTTTGTACATTTTCTTTCCGGGAAATTGCCATTTTCAAAGGAAGAGCCCATGGTAAGTACTACGATAACCGGTTTATCATGATATACGTGAAATGAAAACAATGTGGGTTACATTCAAGGAAATTACGCGAGCGGATAAACGTGAAAGAAAAAGTGGAGAAAGTCTGCGTGAATCTGTTTTTAATTCGAAATTAAAAAAATATAATTTTAGTCTTTCGACCCATGAGCGACTACTAGCGAAGATTTTAAAACAATTTTGGATTGAGTTTATCGGAGCGTGGATACCTGGATACAGTACAGTTGCCGAAGTTATCACGTACACAATGTGGTACGAGAATTTCAGCTGAATTTCGAAATGGATATAGTAGATAAAGAAGTTCTAGGAACTGTAGATACGCGTGTTGCTTTTTAGAGATGTCACGGTATTGGAAATAATGGTTTTCGCTGGAAACGCGCGAATTTCCTTAAAATAAAATTTTATATACCCCTTTCGAGTTTCCTTTAATAAACAATACATTTTGTGTATGTCGTAAACATTCTGTGACACTTTTTTTGTTTTCTTTTTATACAACTTTGACCAAAAGCATTGAATGAAAAAGCTTTAAGGTATATTTACGACAGAATGCGATAAATCTAAGGAGTATAAAAAGTTCCGTTGTAATGTCGACTTATACTGGCGCCATAAATATTAATTACACTATTTACAACAAAACACGTTAGGAAAATAGCTGATATGTTAAAAAAACAAAAGCTGCTTAGTTAAAACTATTATGTGGCCATTTTTTGTTGCGTGATGACGATTATCGCGAAAATTCGACCATTATTTTTTATTAAGACTCCATGGCGAAAGCGCAGGAGTCGGTGTTGGAGAGCTCTCCTATACGAGGTCGTTGTGGCACTGCACTAGCGCAGTAACTTTTTTTAAAAATTAAATATAGCATCATGCGCTTTTTCTCCAAATTAACCTTTTAAAGTTCATATGTTAGCGTAATTTCTACAAGTAAGGAGGTTTTTTATCTGCAATTTTATTAACTTCTATGATAGCAACTACACCATGAATGTAAAAAGCACAGCAAAAATAAGAATCATAATTTGAAAAACATTAAAAAAATCTTTAAGTACTAAAACCTATTACTAACAAATCGTACTAGAATCCTTCTATTCAAAGTTACAATTGAAAAAGACTCATTAAGGAAGAAGGAAATTAAGGTGCCGCCTACTGACTTAAATCCTTTGTTGCCTTATGTTCTTTATACACTAACCTTGAATTATATTATTTTCAAGGTAAGTTACATAAATGGTTTTAGTAATTTATAAACCGACAAGATTAAGACAGAAAAGCTGTTACAGAGATGATTCTACTTTATTCAAGTTAGACAAAAGTCAATCCTATTCGTAGCTACGTTATTTTTTTTTTGTAGAAATAAGGTGGCAAACGAGCAAACGGCCATCTGAATCCACCGAAATGGAAAGCGACCGCTGCCCATAAACATACGCAATTGCAGATGTATTGCCTACTTTTAATTGACGGAGAAGGAGACGCACATAAAGAGGACATTTCCCCTTCCTTTGCGACCCCTACGCTTTCAAATCCACTTTTCCTTCTCTTCCTTTCTTCTTAAGAAAAGAGTGGAAAGGGAAAACGACTAAAATTAGACCTCCGGTAACACACTCATCAGACGAAACGCGGAATCGCGTCCACTTCACGCCTGTCTTCTGTGTGGTCGTGGTATTTCACCGGGCGATTCGGCCCATTCGCGCGAAGATGTTAAAGCGGGCTGTACCACTATTAAATTCATTCTGTTTTGTAACTTGGAGTGCGACAGATGTTCATTGTATTGTTAATACGTTTAATCAGATACGCTTTAACACGTTTACTGCGGCAAGTAAAACCACAATGCGCCGCCAAATATATTTTCGCTAGTGCGTGGCAGGTCTTTCAATACCCACCAGCACTAGGATAAATTAAATTGCTATAACTTTGTGGCAACATAATGGAAACCAAAACAAACACTTTATACATATAATGTAATGTATACACCTGAAGTAATCGTTTCGTACTACCGAGAGGGACATAGTTTTCTTCGTC